GTATTGTAAAAAACAAGAATAGATTATTCACTGTCAAATAATACTAACAAATGAGAATATTTTTCTGCTACATGTTGGAAAATGGGAAAAAAACCCTGAATTTATACATTACCTGCAAACTTTTTCCTATGTGCTCCTTTTCAGTCAGCCCAAGTTACTGTATCCTCATCTTGGTGGTTTCTGGGTTAACTAAGAAAATCACTATTGCATGTGTTGTCCCAGTGCCAAACTGTGCACCATCTGCACTTAGCAGCAGAGGGAAATAAGACCCAGAAAGAATTTATCACTAGTTACACATTTGAGATGGGTATGGGTTCTGAAATCTTCCAGCCCCCCCCCCCTTCCCCCAACCCTGGGTTCATAAAATCATATGCAGTATAAATATCTGCAGAACATATTTGGTAGGAAATGTCTTGAAATACAGAACTTCCAGAAACATGCAGTGGTGGCTGAGCAGACACATGAAGAACCTTCTGAAAACTGTCTGCTCTTTTCCCCAGCCCTGCTCTTACAACAGACTGACCCATCAAGAGGCATTCAGAATCACCTGGGTTCACACTTCTTTCAAGAGTCCATAGGCTATATGGATCCCAGTATAACTACACGATAGGCTGCTCTGCACTACCTCCACTGGTATTGAATTGCTTCACAGGAATCTAAATTAAACTTCTGACTTTTCTTTCATAGCTGCCAAAAGAAGTCAGCTGCTGAATTGGGCTGTACATTTTAGTTTGAAATGTGTCTTGAGGGACAGGCAAACCTGCACCTCTCAGAATTGATGACGGTCTCTAAAGGCAAGCAGGTACTTAGTCAAAATGGTAACTACACTCAAAGACAAGCTCAGCACCAAACATGTACTTTTATATTTTTCTTGATCTGCTCTCTTCAACAGCAGAGTTCAAAGAAAGTTTGCCTCCATTCTTTTACAAATAAATTTCTCCATATTTGCCATAGAATAAAATCCAAACACTTTTATTGCCTCAAGATGTGGATGTATTTTAAGTACCTGCAGAGTTAAGCAGCTAAGAGAAGCGGATGATTTTTAGAAGTTCCCCTCTGTTCTCCTTCACTAATTCAGCCAAACAGGAAATGCTCCAGGCTTTGGAGCAGAGATGTCCCTGCATCCTGCAGGCCCAGGTGAGGCAGGCTGTCCCCCTACACCCCATGGAGGACCCCATGCCAGAGCGAGTGGATGCCACAAAGAGAGGCTGTGACCCACGTGGGAAGCCTGCACGAGAGTGGCTTTGCTGGCACTTGTGACCCTGAAGGGCACCCACACTGGACAGTCTGTTCCTGAAGGACAGCGCCGCATGGGAGGGACTCACTGTGGCAGTTTGTGAAGATGTGCAGCCTGTCAAAGGACTCATATTGAGAAGCCCATGGAGGAGTGTCTCCAGGAAGAGGGACTCCGCATAGGAGCAGAGGAATAGTGTGAGGAGTCCTCCCCCTGAGGGGGAAGGAATGGCAGGAACTTGGTTAACTGACCCCAATCCCCATTTCTTGCACTGCAGGGTTGGAGGAGGTGGAGGTAGAAAATTTGGGAGTGATCTTCCTTGTCTTCATCCATGAGACTTTTGTTATGTTTTTTTCTTAACTGTCCAGCTGAAGATGGAAGTGATATGGTGATTTTGGTAGGCTCCTTTTGTCCACCCTGCATCAGCCCACCACAAGCATCTCCACAAACTGTAAATCTGTTTTCACCTGATAACTTTAATATAAAGCTCCTCAGAGATTTATGATGCACTTTGAACCTCAGTGATACAAACTAATTTAAGGTTTTCTTTCATGTGAGGTGGGGTGGCTTTAGGAACTAAGGGTCAAAACCCAAGCAAAGTTTTGGTTTACAGCATTCCTAATAGTTGCTTCTGGTTTTGAACCACTTTTCATCTATTATTTTTTACCTGTATATTCACGAATGTGGTATTTGCAAAGACAATTACATGGCTCTGTGTGCCCTACAGCACTTGCATTGCTGCACGTCTGTGCAATTGTGCTACAGTATGCAGGTTTAGCTCCAGTTTCCATTATTTAAACATTTCTTTCGGTGTGGCTGAGGTACCAAATAGATATGAGGAGAAAAGAGATCATGTGGTCCAATATTCTGTTGAAAGCATGGCCATAAATAATTATCTGCTGAGGTATTGCTGTGCAAGACAAAGCAGTATTTGGGTGCTTCTGAAAATCTGGGATGTAGCAACATGAATTTTCCTGTGCAAGGTTTTTCTATGTCTGTCTTAATCACGTGACTCCTTTTTTAAGACTTGCAAACAATGGAAGTACCCTTCTGTTTTTCATTTCACTTTATGCACTATCAGCATGTTGGAGGATGGTAATAAAAGGATGGAAGGAACTTGAACAGTATTTAATAAGTTTTGGGTTTAGAAATCTGTCATAACTATATACTTTTTTTCAGTATTTCAAGTACAATTGTAGCCTACAGAGGTATCTGAGCTTTCTGAAAACCAATCTAGAATATTTATTTGACAGTTAGCTCTAGGGATCTAAGTGGATAATTTTTATGATAACTGTAAGAGAAACCCATTTTTGTTGGTTTTCACTAAAATTTTAATTGGATACAGTTCTGAGTAAAGCCATAGGACTGACCTTCTGTCTAATCACTGCCTAGGATACATTATGAACAGATATGAAGAGCTGAAAATTTTATTTTTGCCCTATCCATTTTTCATGAGATAAGATATACATAAAGATACTGTAAGCTTTTCTTTTCTCTCCCAGTGGCACAAAATTTTTCATCCAAACTCTGTGCTACAAAAGATCTGAGTAGCACTAGATGAGGCCCTTCTACATTATGTCATCAGGAGAGCAGCATGAGTGCAAATCAGTATCTGTGCCAGACGTACTTTTGTGTGTGGCAGTAACGAAAGCATTTCCAATTCATGCTAACAGGTCCTCTTTAACTTGGGGAAATTTTTTAAATGTCTTCCTTAAAATTTGGAAATTTCTAGTGGTCTGTTGTTGCTAAGGATAACCCAGGGTTCATATTTTAAAGCAAATGCAAAAGGCAGTTGCAAAAGCAATTGAAAGGAATCTAAGACTGACAGGTTTCAAACACAATTCCCAAGTCTGGCTCCTTCTGAGGGTAAATCAAAAGTGTCACTTTACACTCCAGTAAATCTATCTAAATGATATATTGAAATCAACCCCATGATGAGCCTTTGGACTTATAAATTAATCAGTACATTGTCAGCTGTCTTCTCTATAAGCTTAAGTCAGGACCTAAAATAAGCCTGGTGTTTTTTTGCATGGAGACTTTAATAATAGGCATAAATATTGCTTGTATGGCAGGAAAGGCTGGGAGCTCCTGAACCCTACAAGAATTCATGCCAGGAAGTCTCAATAGTCTGTCAATTGATTTACTTGTGTCCTTTCTTTGCTTTTTCCCAATTCATGAATAATCTCTGTATGTGGATAATAAATAATCCAGTGAGTGATAGCTAGAGCAATGTATGCTGCCTGTTGTGCCCCTTCTCCTCCTGTTGCACTATCCAGTGATTGTTTTCTTGGCTCATGTGCTCTCAAGCCAAACAGAAATTTTGCACAGCATAGCATAATTCCTACTTTATGTACTTTTCAGCTAGCAGTTCCTCTGCTAAGGGAAAATAAATCAATAGCCACCTCCTGTATCCATGCCATGAAGCCTGCCATCAGAGGACAACTTAATTGTACCTGCTGCTGGGCCAGTGTTTGGGCTTCTGCTTTCCTCCCACAGCAGCTATCATTAATGCCAATAGATGTGTACCCTTTCCCTGTTACTAGGTGATATGTGCCTTAAAAAGGCAGCTTCTATTGCTGCTCAGGGATTCTTGTTTCCTTTTGGTTCATATGATGTGCAATGAAGTTTGCAGGACCAGAAACACAGCTCAAAGTTCAGGGCACTTCCTTCTGTTATCTATTTGACTGTAAATCACTTAAAGGTCCTGGTTTTCCTGACTGAGGAATAAATGACACCTGTTCTGGTGGCAGGCAATTGCAAGACTTCTACTTCATAGCCTGGATCTTTGACTTTCCCCACACACAGTTTATTGACCAGTGTCCTTCAGCATGGACTTGGCTGTTGTACCCAAGTATTGTACTGCAAAACAGGTTTTTCAACAGCACTTGTTAGGTAAAGTGTTTTCTGAGGCTCGGGGGAAAACCCAAAGATTGGTTTGGGACTCTTATATTCAGAAAGTGTAACCCCACTGGTTTTTATCTGTTTAGAATTTCCTTCCCCTTTGTTATTTCAGGTATAAATGAGTAGAGAGAATAGATATTCTCAGGACTATAATCTAATTCCTTTGGATTGAATTAGATTCACCAGGCACAACTTGAAAAGTGTTGTATTTCCTGTAGCCTCATTAACTTTGTGGAAGAATGGCAACTTCAGCCTCTGTCCCATCTTTGAATTGATCTTATCAATTTGATAGAGTTTTTTTCCAGGTTCTTGTAAAGATATGTGGAATGTAAGGACATCTGTTATTGGTTTTCAGCATAAAGACAAGAGACAGGAGAAGTAGTAAACTCTCAGATACCCAAATCTTGAGGGAGGGGAGGCAACAGGACAGTAGCAAAGAGCAGAACTCCCAGACCACTTCTTGATGGAACTGGAACAGAACGACTCAATGCCTTGAGGAGGTTCAGCCAGACACTGAATGGACCTGTGCATGGGCACTGTGTGGGTGTGTATGGTCTGAGAGCAGCCCTCGAGCCAGGCCAGCTGGACAGCAGAGTGAGTGCTCTGATTGCCAGCAACTGAGGAGTCAAAGGGACCTGGAGGTCGGAGGGCTTGGAACTGGAGAGAGACTGATTGTCTGGTTCCAAGCTATTGAACAGACTGAGCATCAAAGGGCTGCTGATGAAGGCACCCATTTGTGTGTGTGATTCTAAATGTCAATTTAAAGCTGGACTAGCTGTGAGCAGAAGGTGTAGGAGCCAGCTGCCAGAGAGACAAGTTGCCTTTGAGATTTATATCTAAGATGACCCATAAAAAACAGGAAAAGTGTTTTCTCAACACTTGATTTTATTTAGCTGCTCATGACATAAAGGTTATCAGCAGTTTTGATCCTGCTTCTCATTATTATTCACATCATAGGCTTCTTTTTATTTGAATCATGCATCTTTATTAATTTTATGCTTCTTTTAATTCTGCTTAAAATGCTGTAAATTATACAGCCATTGTTCTGAAATTTGGTTTTACAGCCAAAAAGACATAAGTAGCACAGAAATAAATAGAATTTATACTACACTGCCACTGAAGTAAACTACTACAACAATCACTACAAGTATCATTGCCTTATTTGTCAAGGGTTTGTACAGAAAAAATACATTATGCATACATGAAGGCAGGTTTGCATTTCAATTCACATGTTTCCTTTTCATGACCTTTAGTCTTGAAAACACATTGCAGCTTTTCCAAGTCTTTCAAATTCTGTCTTCATAATTTCATTCCAGTATTAGTGTAACTGTTAGAATTCATATTCCTAAAAATACCAGACAAATAAAACAAAAGCTGTTATAATTAGGTGAGACAGTGAGAAAGGAATGAAAGGAATCAAATTAAATGAGAGAGAACCTTGGCTTCTAATATATCTGTTATCTTTTCTGGCCTGAACTTCTACTTTATGCATGTGTCAGAGTCAGGAGTAGCCAACTGAAACTTGGTTAAAAGACAAATGGGCAGTTTCAGTAAGGCAGCAGCTATGATAAGAAGGACTGTTGTTGAAGGGCTGGTTTAAATTATTCTTAGTAATAGCAGGAAATAGTTTTTTATCCTGAAAAAAATTCTGAGATGTCATAAAAATTTTTTTGTGATAAGATGGAATGAAAAATCAAAATCTCAAATATTTTCTCATTAGAAAATATGAAAAAAATAGGATTGGATGAGAAAAAATACTTTCCAGAATGCTGCTGTTCAGCTTGGAATTTTGCCTTTTTTTGAACTCTAATATGCATAAATTTAGAAAATGGAGGAGTAATTTTTAGGTAAGTTTGTAATTTTATAGTGCTGAAATTGGATATTTTAATGATTCTGAACCTTCTTCACCAAAGCTATGGCTTTTCAAAGTGAAACCTGATCTAAAAAAGTATTAAATCTAATCCTGTCATATGAACATTTCAGATTTGGCTATTTGGCATCTTCTCATTAAAAAAAGTTTTATAAAAAGATTCTCTACTACTTTTGATGAGGCTTTTTGATTTGATGAACTGCAGTCTTTCTTTTGGCAAATTGAACTCATATTGAAATGCTTAGGAATATTCCTAGAGGAATTCTAGCTGTATTTAATCATTGCTAACCTATGATTTAATATGCATTTTCATATGTGGCTTGAACACTTTTGTAGCATTACCTGGTTCAAATTCCTCAACGTCCTGAGGCAGATTGACAGCCAGTGACTTTCCAAACCTCTGTGGCAAATTTAGAAGTGATTGACTGGAACCTTTGACGAGTGGAGATCTCTCAAGCCTGTGTGATACCTTTGGAGCATGATTACGTATGTTCTCTCCAAAAGCTCTTCCAAATCTCAGGGGCAAATTAGAAAATGGTTTAATGCTTCTTTCCTCTGGATAATTTCTTCCAAATCTAAGAGGTAAATTAGCAACTGAGTTTGGCATTTTGCTTGCTGCAAAAGGATTCATTTTAATGATATCTTTTGATCTCCAGTCTTCCATTTCTTCAAAATTGAGACTTCTCTGCTTTTCTTCCAAAATATTATCTTTAATCTAATGAAAAATAATTTTAAAAAGGATATGATCATTTTATAGGGAATTACTCCAGCTACCAATGACACAAAGTATTCTATTTCATACCTCCTTAGAAAGATGCTGGGTAATGCTCTTATTTTTTTGAATATGTAATATTTTTTAGATCTATTTGCTAAACTCCACTGTAAAGTGAGCTCCTTCATATGGATTATTTCATATGCTGACATTGTCCTGCTTACCTTTTCAGGGCTCTGACCACAAGGGCATATTTCCATATCAGTATCAGTGAATGGTTCAGCTCAAATAGTGTCAGCTGGAAATATTTCTGGGCACAGGTGTCAGTACCTGTGCAGTCAGCTAAGATGGGACAGCAGCTGCTGTCAGGTCCACATTTGCTAGTATCACCACCTGAAGTTCTCTGGAGTGGAAGATGCTGAACATATTTTGTGACTTCACACAGACCCAGACTCTTACTCATCTGCTCTGGATGAACAGGAGGATGGACCAAGATACCTGAAGGTATAGCTTTATTCTTCCTCAGCATTGGGTGGGTGCTTTGGACCCAATATCCATCCAGGCTATCAGGCAGGGAAGTGAATGGAAAGCTTTTGGGTCAAGTTCACATCATACCTGTTATGGCCTTGCAGCATAGAAGTTGCCCTGAGTTTTAAATGTCTTTGTTCCTCCACTAGCCCACAAGATGCATTTGGAGCTCCTGGGCTCCTAATCTTTGTGCAACCAGCACAAAACACACTTTTCTCTGCTGTCATACAGTGAAGAACTCAACCTAGTATATTATCTGTCTCATGAGGTAAAGGGCAGCTGTTGCCTGAAAAATAGCTTCATCAGTATGACCCTTCTTATAGAGCAGTGTTCTTCCCTGGGCATATTGAAAGCAACTTACTTTTGTGACAAAACTAAGTTTCCAGAACTTAACAGCAAATATGTATAAATATGGATTTAAATTTCAGTTGAAGACACAAATGCTACTAATCATAATTTCACTTCCTTATCCCTATTTGTCTTCCCTATGAGCTTCTCGAGTTACTTACAGAAAACCAGAATGAGCCATTCTAGTTCATATATCATGATTTAAACTTTAAATAAACTATCCCTCTGATTGCACCTGCACACTGCTTCTGGAAGTATATAAAAGATAGTGAGCTAAAGTCCAGAGGATCTGATTAGCATAATTCAAATTGTATTTTGTTTTGAAGGATAGTACCGATGCTGGTAAGTCAAAAAGAGAGGATGGCTCCCATTTCCGAGGGAGTATTTGCAGGGAAGACATGAAAAATAATAGAGATGAAGTGTGCAAATTTCATTTGGCACCTATTGAGACATAATAAATGTGCAACCCTGCAAAGAAATTTTTATAGGCAATTTCCAGAGTAAAATTTTAAGACCATTAAGTATATTAGATTTAAAATGTTCTCTGTTTATCATTATCCTTTGAGTATTACAAGCATGCCTTTATTAATTTTGGATTAATAATCTATCAGTTATATTATGTGCATAAAACACCTGACAGGAATGTTAATTGAGGACTCACTGTGTAAGTAAGAAACATTTCAGAAAAAGTCACAACCTAATCACAAAACTGTACTGCAAGAAAATTGAAACATGAGTTGATTTACACAGTAGGTGTGTTTGAGCTAAGGAATTTCTTGAAAATTCTTTTGACAAGCTTTTTTCATACTGCTAGTGCTGCAATGCTGAATGCTGTGGAATGAGTTTGGGACATTCAGTGTGCTCAGGATCTGACCCACAGTTCCCCCAGACAATGTCACAGTAATACATGTCTTACCTCATAATATTTATCATCATTGTCTTCTCTGCTCTGCAGCCTGGACTTCACTGGTTCATTTAGGCACATGCTGTTTGATGTGAGAAAGACCACTGGAGCTAAAGCAAACAGAATAAAGTTCTTGGTTGAAATGACTTTCATTTTTCTCAAGTCAATGTTACTTAGAGAGCTCAGAATCTATACAGAAAATAAAACTGCCATCTTTTTATATAATCAGAAAACAAAACAATTTTTTTTTCACCATGACATCATTCTCTAAAGCTCCAATTCCCAATATTAATTAAGGAAGTAATTTGAATACATTAGAAGAATGTTGGGAATTTCTTTTGTGAAGCTTCTTAGATAACATAACTCCTTGTTAGGGACACACTGACTTTACAAATATTTTCTTCTGGTGAAGTATGTGTTAATTAGCTAATTTTGAGAGCCACAACAGTAGGGATATACAATAGCCACAACGCTCCATCACTAGTAGACAAAATCACCTTGTTTCTTTCTGTTGTATCAGTGTCCTCAGAGGACTATAAAAAGAAGCTTTCCCCATGTAAGCATTCTTCTTCTAAAACAACCCTTTTGGACCACAGAATGCTTGTTTATACTTATGTACACCTAGGAACATTTGTCCCATTAAAATCAAGTGCTGTGCATTGGAGTTGTTGATTGGATCCTTAGAGATGCTATGCATCAATGTAATCTATTGATGTACATAATGTCTGTGCTCTAAATTTTACATATTCATTTGCATTTATAATGGGTTAGGTATGTTCTTTTAAAACCCTGCCCGTAACGTAAATTTTTAGAAATTCCAAAGGCTATGTTACATTTATATTTTTCAGGCCAAATTTCCAACAGAGGTTTTTAAAAAGACATCTGCCACTTAGCTGAACACAGTGAAAGCACTGGACTGCCATGCATGTTCTGTCCCAGAAAGAGATTCAGGATGCAGACTAAACCTACCCTTTAAGCACACACTGAATTAGTTGCTATATGGGCTGGTGAGTCAGGCTAATATGAGAAAAAAAGCATATTGTGCTGTTGTTCCATTTGTTATTCCTAAGTTCTTGAACTGATTTAAATTAGTACTTAAAATCAGCCCCATATGGAGGAAATTTGATTGCTTGCATTAAGTGCTCACACTGAAAATTGGACTCCAGGCATGTTATTTTGCAATTTAACACCAGAGTTGTAAAAGGTCCATTCCATCATGGCACTAGCAATATTATCCCAAGAGAACATGTTTTATGCTGTGGGCAGCATGGATAATATGGACTGTTCATCTGTTGTCAGGATGTTACTGTCTTTGCTGCATAGTGAAGCTGAAGGATTTGCAACTAACCTCATTTTTCAATTAAGTTGGCTGTTTTGATGGGTGGATGCCTGCAGTCATTTCTGCCTTAGATTCCCTGAAACTGAGTCCTGAAAGCCATAAGCAGCCTTCAGAAGGAAATTCCATTAACAGAGCTGGAAGTGAAAAGGGCCAGTTTCTCTTAGATGAACTTCCCCAGGTGGAGAGGGTGTCAAAGATTCTGTTCATTTTTTATGTGACAGAGACCATCAAATTGCTAAAAGATATGAGAATGGGTATCAGTAAGATAATTAGGAGTTGCTGTGGGGAAATAGTGTATTTTAATAATTTACTGGCTTTGTATGTCCCTTTGCTGTTGTACAGTTGTATTTACATTTACATTTTTGAACACTGTTTTTTTGTGGTGTGCAATCCTTCTGGCTCTGGCTGACAGCAGAAAAGGTTGGGTTCAAAGACCATAGAATCATAGATGGTTTTGAGTTGGAAGGGACCTTAAAGATCCTCTAGTTCCAACCCCCCATGCCATAGTTTGGGGTGCTTTCCCCTAGATCAGGTTGTTTTGAGCCCCATCCAAGCTGGCCATCCACTTCCAGGGATGGGACATCCACAATTTTTCTTGGCAATCTGTTCCAGTGTCTCACCACCCTCACAGTGAAGAATTTCTTCCCCGTATCTAATCCAAATCCACATTTTTAAGTTTAAAGCTATTCCCCCTTGTCCTTTCACTACAGGCCCTTGTAAAATGTCTCTCTCCAGCTTTCTTGTAGGCTTCCTTTAGGTACCAAAGTACTGAAATGTGGTTAAGGTCTCCCTGGAGCCTTCCCTTCTCCAGGCTGAACAACCCCAACTCTCTCAGCCTGTCTTCATAGGAAAGGCTCTCCAGGTCTCTGATCACCCTCATTGCTCTCCTCTGCACCCACTCCAACAGGCTCATGTCCTTATTATGTTAGGGGGTCCAGAGCTGGATGCTGTACTTCAGGTGGAATCTCATGAGAGTGGAGTAGAGGGGCAGAGTCACCTCCCTCACCTTCTGGCCCCACTTCTTTTGATGCAGCCCAGGTTATGGTTGGCTTTCTGGGCTGCAAAATCACTTTTCTGGCTCATGTGATGGGAGCAAGCACAGTTCTGTATAGTCTCAAGGGCCAGTGGTTCCCCTTGCATTCTCTGAGTCTGTTCTACAAGGTGCTTTAGCGTGGGATGTGGTAGGTAGGGTGGTAAAAGATACTGTACCAGCAGTGATTGATGAGGAGGGCTTGTACGAGCACACATAAACCATGTATGCTGGAAGTAAGGGTGCATGATGATGCATTTGTCCTGAGTGCCTTGGTATGAGCCCTCTTCTCAGAATAGGTGATTTGTCTTCTGTTTTTAAATAATATTCCTGGCAGGGAAATGGGATTCTGGGGATACCAAAATTTTGGTATTTGCAAATCTGAGCCAAATTCTTTGGAAAGCAGAGGGAATAAAATGTCGATGGAGAAGACCTCTATAAGGATCCCATGTCATCTTAGTGCTCTGGCAGGTCAGGGGCAGCAATTGTCTCTTTTCACTAGGGACTGAATTTTCTCTTTTCACCAGGGATTCCTGACTCTCTGGAGCCTCATGTCAGGGGGCTTCAGTCTGTGGGAGTAGACAGATTTTCCAAGTTCCTTTACTTTATGGTAACAATAAAGACATACAATAATAATAAAGAATGCAATTCATATTTTAATATCTATCTAATGTGGTCATTTACCACTGGGCCTTCCTTTTATCTAGCCGCTGCTTTATGAACCTCTCTTGATCAATGATCTTGTAATTAACTCTGTGAAAATATTTGTCTTCTAAATTAAATAGTATTTGCAAGAGCCAAAGATTCTCTCTTACAGTGTTAGGCATAAATAAAAATTGTGTTTTCCCTGGACAGAAAAAGAAAATGTATTGCTGTTGTCCATGCCAAATCAGACTTTTTTGACATTCAGCTTACCTCCTATGTATGTTGATTTTTTAATCAACATAAAGTGAAGGTGTTTTGTAGGCCAGGCAGTCAGGGAGCTGTGTATTCTTTTACTTTCTAATGTTAATTTATCTTTGATATCTATAGCAGGAACTTCTTGGAAATTTCAAGAAATTACAGTGATTGTTCATTACCTTCCTGAGGAAGGATTTGTTAGACTCTACTGCTCAAGTACCAGAATTGATAACATAAATGCTCTTCATCTATGTGATCATGACTTCAGCAGCAGCATTAGCTGGCCCAGCTGACTGCAGCAGAGGCAGCTGAGGCATCCTGTCATGATCAATTAAAATTATTTATTTTCAGAGGGAAGACACATTTGTTGGTGACACATTGTGTCATAGAAGTGGGCTGTTTATTCTTTAATTGCTTCTGCTTGATCCACAAAGGGATCAAGGCACATGGAGGGGAAACAGCTCTGGGTATTGTTGAAAATAATTTTTGATTTCTTACCCTCTGGTCCTATGCTTGTTTTTTCTTGACATCTTACCTCATTTGTCAGCCAACTACTCAAAGGACTATAACATAACTGGACTTCTGTTTTTAAAATTCTCCAGTTCAGTAGGAATGAGCTGTGCCATCTACATGTGAAAGAAGCCTCACAGGCAGTGATGATTTAAGAGTTTTCCCATGGGTGCATAATAGAGTCCAGGGCAAGGCAGTGTTTGCTTCTGGTTTTCCCTTCAATGTAGGTAGGCACATTCTGGCACATAGGTAGGAGCATTTTGGCATAGTGATATAAGAGTAAGGTGGATCTGATTTGTGACAAGTTTATGAATATCTACTTTAAAAATTTGACATTAATATATAATTAGTGGTGATGGCAAAAGTAGCTCAACTTCATAAGCAACTCCATGCACAGTTATTTGATTCCAGTGAAAGAACAAGTTTTAATATTGGTCTTTTTTCATATGAGACTATACTGATAAATTCTTATCCATTATTAACAACATATTGTGTGAAAATTGTATGTTATATGACTCATGACACCAATAAGCATCTGTGCATTTCCATAATGATAAAACATTCATAATATATTCATTTTGCCATTATGTATTATATGACCTATCTGATGGCTCATTTTGAAGTAAGAAGATTTAAAAATTTGTAATTCTTTTCATTGGCAAGCAATTCTATTAATTTTTCACCCGTTCCTATGGCATGCAGGGGGTTGTGTTTGCTTTGCTGTGTTGTGCTTCAGTTCTGGTGCACAATGCAAGGAGTATTTGACTGGAATATATATGACCCAAGCAGATATACCTCCACTTCACTCAGTATCCTGACTCTGTATGTAGATGTAGGCCTGGTGTCCCTCTCATACTGATAATAAATATTTCAGTGATCGGGGGAACCCGTGAAGCTTGCTTTCCCATAACTTATTGATTGAATATTAAATGACAGTGGGTAATCTCTGAGGTCCAGTAAGGATTAACCTCAGAATGTCTCTGTGAGCAGTGTCTCTATCATCTCTTTCTATGCCTGTTATTTCAGAGAGATTTTTTCCTTGCCAAATTTAACTGAACTTATTTCTAGACTTGAAAGTTATCAAGGGTGACTGACAGCCACACACTTATGCACAGAGAAGCAGACTTGCCACATTTCATTAGAAAACCAATACAAATCAGGAATGGTTCTGCTGAAATACCACAGGTATAAAGCCTCAACATCTGTAAATATACTGTGGACACAGCAATAATTTTGCTCTTTATTAATGAGGCATTAGCTTACCTTTTGGGGTTTTGCAGAATAGGAGAACCTACTCTACTGTTAAAGAATAAGAGAACTTACTCCACTGT